AAGTTAGAAATCAATAACCAGAGTAAATTAAAAATCATTGCTCATTTGGACATTTTAAAAACACACTTCTTAGCAGTGCATGGGTCAAATAAGAGATTATAATGTCAGTTTAAAGTATAAGAACTAAATAATGATCAAAAAACCACATCTCAAAACTTACACGTTGAAGTGAAGGTGGCACTTAGAGAGCTCTCATCTTCAGTTCTCATATCACTGGAAAGGGAGAGAGGTGGAAGATAAATGCACTGGACAGCCAATGTAAGAGGGTGCATATAAAGAAAGAACAAAAGAATAAACCAAAGAATGTCTAAGGGGGCAATTAAGAAAAATGTAAAGCACATTATAGAGGAATAACAAAACCAAGAGTTGGTTCTTTGAAAAGCTTAATAGTTAAACCTGTGATGAGGTTGATCGGGAAAAAAAAAGGGAGTTCCCATACATAAACAATATTAGGAATGTTAGAAAGGACATAACTACAGACCCAACAAAAATTTAAATGATAAGAAAATACTATCAACAACTTTATGGCAATAAATTTGAAAGCAGAAAAGGGCAAATTTCTATAAAAATTATAACTTATTGTATTTAAGAAGAAATAGAAATGTGAAGTGTCATAGCAATTAAGTAATAGGCAATTCAAAATCCGCAAAGAAAATACCCAGCCTGGAGGATTTTACAGGTTAATTCTAGTAAACATTCAAAGAACATATTATCCCAATCTTCTGCAAACTCTTCCAGGGAATAGCAAAAAAGGAAATACTCTGTGAGGCCAGTACTACCATGATGTCAAAACCAGGCAAAATTATTACAGTAAGATAAAACTTGCAGTCTAGTCTTATGCCCATGGATACAAAAGCCCTAAAAAAATATCATCGAACCAAATCCATCAGTTTATTAAAAAGATCATACATTGGTTGCATCCCAGAAATGAAGGATGATTTAATATTAGATGATTCATACAATGCATGTGTAATTCATTTCATTGATAGATTAAAGGGGAAAATAAAACAGAAATATATTGGAGAACCAGGATTAGAGGGGAACTTTTAAAACATTAAAAGAACGCTATTTAAAATCAGTAACTTCCTTTTAATGGCTGAATAATATTCCATTGTATATGTGGGAAAAAATATATATCACTTTTTCCTCATTCTCACCACACACATAAGATAACTGTGTGAAGTAATGGAGGTGTTAACTAACTGCATTGTGGTAGTCATTTTACAGTGTATACATGTATCAAACCACATTGTGCATGGTAAACTTATACCATGTTGTATGTCATTATATCTCAATGAAGCTGGGAAAAATAAAAAATAAACACACAGAGAATAAAATACAATCAGAAATAAGACCATATGTGTTAGTGTGTGTGTGTGCCCATTATCAGTGTTTCTAGTCTACATTTCACTGGGATTCCCAGCAGTGACTAAGGTAAGAAATAGAAATAAACAGTGTAAGAACTGGAAAAGAAGAAACAATACTGTATCATTTATAGATGATATGTCTACAGAGAACATCCAAAGGAATCTAAAGGTAAATTATTAGAAATAATAAGACAGTTTAACAAGATTGTTGGATTTAAGGTCAATATATACAAATGTATTGCTTTTCTCTATATCAGCAAAAATTAGAAACACAGGCAGAAGATATAGCATTTAAAATAGCAATAAAAACTATAAGGAACCTATGGATAAATAATAGAAGATGTAGAAGACCTATATAAAAGCATTTATAAAACTTTGTTAAAGGACATTGAAAAGCACTTATTCAGGTGAAAAGCTTTATTTATAGATAGGAGATTCAAGATCAGAAAAATGTCAGTTCCCCTCAAGTTTTTCTATAGATAGATCCATTGTAATTCCAATGAAAATCCCAAGTTTTAAATGACTTTGACAAGCTTACTCTGAAATTTATATATAAGTGCAAGTGAACAAGAATAGTGAAGACATCCCTGAAGGAAGAGGTAGAAGATGAAGAGAAGAATGAGGAGAGAAAGAAGAGGGAAGCTTCTGTACCACATGGGAAGATTTCTGTAAAGCCATAGTAATTGAGACACTGATTGTGATGCAGGTATAGTCAGTTGACCAAAATTGACCAAAGAGAAGCCCAGAACCCCACATCTAAATAGAAAGCAGATGAATGAAACAAGTGGGTTTGTGCTTCGTGAGGAAAGGGTGAGAGGGGTCCACAAACGATGCTAAGGCAACTGGCTATTGTTACGGAAAGAAGTAGAAGTTAGATCCCCACCTCGCATCATGCACAGACATCAATGCTGGATGGAACAAACACTTACATGTAAGAGACAAAGCCTTACAGTTTTTAGAAGAAAATTCTTTTTCTGACTCAGGGTGACAAAGAATATCTTAAACAAGCCACAAATATTATTGCATTTAATTACATTAGGATTATGAAATTCTACTCATTAAAAGACTTTTAAAAAGGGAAAAGACAAGCCACTAATTGAGATGAGATATTTGTGGCACTTAATGACAAAAATTTAGTACTTAGAATAAGAAATGAATAGTATGTCAACCCATTTGAAAACAGAGCAAAAACCATGAAAGACATTGCTGAAGAAGAAACAAGAATGACAAACAACCAAAAAAAGCCCAACTCTATTACTAAAATAAAACCAATACCATATTTTATGCCTCTAGATGGGCAGAAATTATGCAGTCTAATATTATCAAGTATTAGTAAGTATGTAGAGTAATGAGAACCGTCAACATTCAGCTGGCGGGATGTTAGCATGAGGAAGATTACTTGGGGAGACATTTTGAAATTATTTTGTGAAGTTGACAGCCTGCACATTGTGCTACCCAATGGCTTCACCCCAGGCCTGTCTCTAGAACATATTTCTCAAACTGCTGAGAGTGACCTGTTTATGGAACTAGCCACTTAAAATTAAGAAGTAGAATAGAAAATATCAGGACATCATTCATTTTTGAGGTTAGTTGTTTTGTGACATTGTTTCTGGTGCTCATGAATGTACATTTTTACTGGGTTCCAGTGTACAAGTATTTCTTATGAGAGTGGTGGTCAAGATATGAGAAGCAGTGCCTTTGGAACTCTTACACGTGTGCCGTGGCCACGTGCTCAGGCGTGTTCGCAGCTGCATTATTTCCAATAGCACAAAATTGGGGAGGGGAGATGCCCACTGACAGGAGAAGGGACCAATACATGATAATTTACTGGCATAAAGGAGTATTACACAACATTGAAAATAAATGGAGTATGGTTACAGGTAATAATATAGACAAATCTTAGAAACATAACGTTGAACAAAATAAAGCAAATCATAGAAGACTGAACAAACCCCACATGATATCATAATTATAAAGTTCAAACAAGCTCCACTAAATAATATCTTATTTAGATATATTTTTAAAAGGATATCAAGATGAATATTCATACAGTGGAAACTTAGCCATGAAAAGGAGTGAAGCACTGACAAGCTGTAGCGTGGATGAAATTTGAAAACATTATGCTAAGTGGAAGACCTCAAATGTGAAAGGCCATGTGTGTTATGATTCGTTATATGAAATGTACAGAATAGGCAGCTCCAGAGAGACAAAGTAGACTAGTGGTGGTCAGGGGCGGGGGGAGGGGAGAGTGGGAGTCACTAATAATTGTTACAGGGTTTCTTTTGGGGATGATGAAAATATTCTGGAATTGATGGTGCTTGTACAGTTTTGTGGTTATATAGAAGCCATTGAATTTGATCCTTTAAAATAGTGAATTTTATAGCATATGATTTCTTAATGTAAAATTTTTTTTGAAGAGAGCAATGGAATGACTAAAAATATATATGTTCAGGATATTGTTTACCTCTGGCAGTTGAGCCAGGGACATAGGATGGAGGGAAAGCTGGGTGAGTAAGCAGTATTTGTAAGTTCTACTTCTTAAGTTATTTATGGGTGTTTATCTTATTACTAATCTTTATTGTGTGTGTTGTGTATATTTTTCATGCATATAAAATAAGTAAAGTTTTAAAGAAATACAATTATTAAATGAAGTAGCATTAAAAGCAAAAGTGCCTTTTGAAAAACGCTTCTTGAATCTCTGAGTTTGAGGTCTGTGCCTTACTGTGACTGTGGATGTAGCTGTCCTGACCTCTGGTGGCTGGGAGGGGAAGGGCAACTGGGTGCTGCTGGCTTGAGCCAAGGGAAGTAATAAGGCGAGATCCATCAGAACAAGCAGGGTCCTGGCCACTGCCAGTCTCACCCCAAGGGAAAAGAGCCAACAGCCTTGGACTTTCCTGGTTTAGGTTCCCCCAAACCCTGTTCCTCTTTGGGTTTCACCATACTCCTCTAAGCCCAGGACTGAGGTATGTGTAACTCCACTGAAATCTTCCCCTGGGAAGAACCAAGTGGCCTTTTTATCCAGATGACCCATCCTGGGGTGACCGACTGCAAACACCAGGGGCTCTTGATGAGCTCATGAGCAGAAGTCTCTGATGTCTTCTGGGGAAGGAGAGGCCAGGGTGCTGATGCTCAGAGAATTGGTCTCCATACTTTCTTTGTTTAATCAAACCACCTTTCTGGAGGGTTATGAACTGAAGCCTATGGGAGCAATTGGCTTGGGCACATTAGAGGTGGGGCGGGGGTGGGGGTAACTTTGGGAGGGCTGTCAGCATTTCCAGGTTTCCCAGAGCTTAGGAAACTACTGCCCTGCGCCCCACCCAGCTGGCCAGACTAGAGCCAGCATTGTTTTATCTGCACTGTTTAACCTAATAGAAGGAAGGGCTTTCAGCAGTGGGTCTTGGCTGTGGGGAACCAGGCCAGGAATTCCCAGGCATCTTAATAAACTAGACAAGGCCACAGAAGGGTGGCCTGGAGAGGAGGTCACCAATGAGCTCGTCTCCAAAGCCATTCGGGCTTATGGCGAGCACTCAGAGGAGAGCAGAGCTAGGAGTTGGACTGGGCCCCTGGTCAGGTTGAGGGTTGAAGTGGGGATTCTCCTACCCAGGGCATCAGTTTTCCTCTCTCTGTCCCCAGACGCCATGGAGGTGGTGCTGATCTTTCTGTGCAGCCTGCTGGCCCCCACTGTCCTGGCCAGTGGTAAGTGTACTCTAGGATCCATCTCTGACAGGATGGCTGCCATGGCCTTTTCTCCTGGCCCTTTGGGACTCTAGGGTTGGGACTCTCAGATTCTACATGTCTGATCAGCTCCCTACCCCTGCCTTAGCAGAGAATGTCCTGGAAGGTGACATCTATTTACAGACCTCCATCTAGTCTGCCTACCCCTCCCCACAGGCTCCAGCAGGGTCTGCTTTTAAGCCTCAAGTCCACCAGCCCCCTGTAGACTTCTGGCTAGAATTTTGGGGGCCAGACCTGCACATCAGTCTTTAGCCTCTGGCCTTGTGCAGGTCACATGTTTTTCCTTACTCTCAGTTTCCCCATCAGTAATGAGGGAAATAGACCCTGCCTTTTGGGGATGACGTGAGTAAGAAGGGACCATAGATGCATGTGGCTGTGCTGTAAACACAGATTCTCACTGGGGCTCTGAGCTGTGCCTGCCCTGGGCTAGCAGGCAGGCCCACCCGTCGTGCTTCCCCAGGTTCCTCTGTTTAATAGGCCCTGCTTCCCAGGAACCCCTTTGTTGGGGGGAGGCCTGTGGGCAAGTTACGGTATTTGGGAACCAGGATGTGGAGCTGTCCTCCTCTTAACCAGTCTTGTTTATTTTTGTAGCAGCTGAGCAAGAGAAAGATAAGGACCCTTTTCATTATGGTGAGTGGTGAAGAATCCCTGGGTGGGGAGGGGGAGCACAGCCCAATCGGGAGGGATGGGCAGACTTTCCCTGGCCCTTCCTCTTCTCCCATTTCTCACCTTGTTCCTTTGGCAGATTATCAGACCCTAAGGATCGGAGGATTGGTGTTTGCTGTGGTCCTCTTCTCTGTTGGAATCCTCCTCATCCTCAGTAAGTTTCTTTGTTGTTTACCCTGTAAGAACAATGTCTGCTACCAAGCAGGTGGAGAACAGTGTAGGAGCACCTTTCCTGGGGAGGGAAGGAGCCTGTCTGTAATCCCTGTTACCTCTAGGACGTAATATAGTGCTGGGTACCTAATAGGTGCTCGGTAAAACAGTGAAGCATGAACAAAACAAATGCTCGATGAAAATAAGCACAGATAAGAAGACAGGGCAGAGTAGCCCTCCTGGTGCTGTGCCCAGCATGGTGTGAGTGCAAAGTCACAGGACACAGGACCCAGAGGCTATCCTTAGTGTGCTCTGAGGGACATGCCCCTGTGCATGTTCTCCCCTTTAAGCCTGGTTTGCATGGAGCCCGCTGTACTTGCACAATCAGGCAGACCGGTGCCATAGCCATTCCAGCTGGTGTTGAACCTGGGCCTCAGAAGAGTCCTCTGCAAACTAGGATTGCTACCTGCAGCTGTGCAAGCTGTGCACTGCCCAGGTATAGGAGGTACTGTTTACCAGGTCCCACAGCTTGCACCAACTCACAGGGTAGCACTGCTGTGGCCAAGCCAGGAGCATGACCTTGAGCTGAAGCCAGGAAGATGACCTTGAATGGTTTCTTTGACTTTCAGGTCGCAGATGCAAGTGCAGCTTCAGTCAGAAGCCTCGGTAAGGATGCCAGGGTTGTGGACATTTGGGGAGAGAGGAGGGAATAGGAGGGAGCCTTGCTATGTGTGACCCAAATGAGTGTTTTAGATTCTTGTCTAAGAAACAGGCCATGTGTGGTGAGGGTAGGGCAGAAGTTTTGAGGATTTTCAGGCGGACTTTGAGGGTTAGTGCCTCCTTCTTTCTTCTGATGAGTATGGGGGATGAGAAGTGGATGAGAAGGTGCTGGATTCTTGTCTGCAGGCCCTTGAGACATTTGGGGTCAGGAGAGGGGAGGCAGAGGGTGTCGGGGCCTCTCTTGAGGTTCATCCTCCTCTCTTCAGGATCTGTGACACTGTCTCTGCTCGTCACCTTTTCATGAGGTGCTCTGAGCTGTGTAGAAACTTGGTCTCCCTTCCATTCATCGTTCTACTTCAACATCAAAGGCACAGCCTTTTAGTCTGCTATAGTAACCAAGGCAGCCGTGAACCTCAGAAGTCCAAAGTCTGTGGCAGGACACAACCCAAGCCACCAGGAGGCCCTAGGTCACCCTTCCCAGTACTTAGGGCTGGGGATGGCACTGGAAGGTGCCTGCAAGTTGCCCTGGCTCTGCTGCCTTCTCCCTCACCCCAGAGCCCCATGGAGAGTCTGGAGCCTTGAGACGACTCGAGGCGCCCCTGCCCCAGAAAGGAGGATGGTGGTGTTCTCTGGGTTTGCCCTGAAAGCCTCTGATGGAAGGTCTGGTGTCTTGTCCTCTTGCAGGGCTCCAGGGGATGAGGAGGCCCAGGTGGAGAACCTCATCACTGCAAATGGTAACTGTCATGGCCCCCTGCCCATGTTCCTGCAGCTCCACCGAATGGGCTTCTACTCCTGATGGCTGCTATGTATGGGGCACCTGCTCAGGGTTAGGCATGATACAAAGTGTGTCATAGACCCCTGCCCCCCAATCTCATTTAGTGTGCATACAGCCCCATGAGGCAGGTATCACTATCCAGTTTTATAACTGAGGGACTCAAAAGTTAAGGAATGTGCCCAGTTCCTGTGACCAGCAAGTAGCAGGGCAATGATTTGCCCACAGGTCTGTCTGACTTGAAATCCCACATGAGTCACCTCTTGCTGTATGGGTCAGGCTCTAGTCAGGCACAGGCACAGCTGCTACAGGAGTAGTCCTCGGGGGGTGAGGGTCCATTTACTGTAATCTGTTCTGCTCTACTTTCCAGCAACAGAGCCCCAGAAAGCAGAGAACTGAAGCGTGGCCCTCAGGAGGGAAGGTAAGGTGCTGTCTGCCTGCATCTTCCTCTGCTACCATCATGGTTCTTTTACTAGTGAAGAATTGGGCTAGCTTTTGCAGTGGGCACTGCTTTTGTTATGGCTTGTGCTCTAAGCAACCTTGCGTCTGAAAGGGGTGATGAGACAGATGGTCACAGCCCTGTGGTCAAATAATAGGGCGTCACCCTAGCCACCATGTGGCCATGACTTGGGAGAGAGTTACAGTCAGTGAAATACTTCTAATATCAGGGTAGCATGAAGATACTGGCTTTTAGAGATGATTCAGCAAGTTTCTTAGGGCCACTTCTTAAAGTTAACAATTTATTGTGAAACTTTCTAACCCTACACAAGGGTCAGGAGACTAGTACATGGTACCCCACCTTCCTCCACCTCCCCACATACCAGTGTCATCAGTTCTCAGTGTTTAGGGGCACTCCTTGTAGTGTCCTTTTCTATTGTTCATTGTAGGATCGAGGGAAAGTATAATAATAACAGTTAAATGCTTTACCAACTTCAAAATGCTGTCACACACAAACTTGCTGGACCCTGCCAGGACGGACAGCGTTTACCCTATTCTGCAGGTGAAGAACTGAGGTCAAAAGCATAGCCATGCAGAAAATGAGTGACAGACTGGAACCTGCATCCATGCCTTTGTAGTTTGGGGCCATTTTCACCACAGCCCTCTATTTCTGCCAGCCTTGCTTTGTGACATACATACCCTGGAAAATACTGAGCCCAGGGATCTGCCTTCTGTGAGCTCACTTTTAGGATAAGGCATACACCTTTACCCTAAACTGTAAGTTAAAAGAAACTTCTGCATGTGCAGTGCCTGAAACACCAGCTTTTCTCTCATCGGAATGACACAGCGTGCATCTGTGGCATTTGAATTCTCTCCTAACTGCTTTTAGATCCTTTTACAGCTCTGTGGGTATCAGGAGGGCAGAGCAGGGCCCATGACGTCCGTCTTCATGACGGGGCTTGGGACATTGATTCCTGAGCTGGGGGGGGGGGGGGGGGCTGCGGGAGCCGGTCTCAGAGGCAAGTGTCTACTTTGTAGTCAGGGTCTGGGCGTGGTGTAGGAAGACTCAGGGGAGGGAGCCTGGAGCTAGCAGTTGTCTTGCCTTGTCTCTCTCTCTTTTTTTTAATAAACTAGGACTTCCTCAGACACCTGTTCTCCTAGGTCTCCAGACTGTGAGCAACTACTGAGGGTGTCCTGGGATAGAGACTCTGGGTTTAAGAGCTTCCTTTCCATGTCAACCAGGTCCTGGCCCTCCCAAAGGCACCTTTCCCCTGAAGTCCACCCCTTCTCTGCTTTTATCTCCTTGTCCTGAATCTCAAACTGTTCTCCTTGCTTTGCTGGGAACATGGCACTTAGAACAGGTCTCATCCTGTGAGTTTCAATAGGCTAAAGGCCAGGAGATGAGCAGTTGAAGATTTCTGAAAGGAGCCAGAGTGTTGTTTTAATTTAAACTCTCCCCATCCCTGGTCTGGTGTGGCTCAGTTGGTTGGGCATCATGCCAAAAAATGAAAGTTCACCGATGCCTGGGTTGCTGGTTAGGTCCCCAGTCAGGGCATGTATGGAAGGCAGCCAATGGATGTTTCTCTCTCACATCAACATTTCTCTCCCTCTTTTTCTCCCTCCCTTTGCCTCTCTTTAAAATAAAAAATTAAATTAAATTAAACTCTCTCCCTCTTCAGCCTCCAGAACCTGAAGGCAGCTGCTTGAACCTTTAGATGCAAATGTTGATGCTTAAGAAGACCAGCCACTTCGGCAGCAGATCTTTCCCCAGGAGAAGTCGGGAACTTGTGTGTCCCCCGCCCCGCCTCACCCCGCCCCATTCCCCCCACCAACACCAGGCCTCACTTAGTGCCGCAACTAATGCCCACCTTCCCAGCTGCAGCCTGTGGGTTTGCCCACCTCCTGTGATGTATTGTGTGTGCGTGTGTGTGACGACCGTGGTCTTCGTGCCTGCTTGTCTGTGGGTGACGTTTAGTGAACCTGGACTCACTTTCCTGGGCTGGAGCTGAGCCACGTCACCATCAGCTCCTCCTTGCTTCCCCGTGGCACCCTCTCCCCTCCTGCTCCCGGGAGTCTGCTTTTCCCCTGAGAGACCAGTCCCTTCCCTTGGTTTAGGAGTGGGTATAGGGCTAGGACCCAGGTGGGAGTCTCCACTTGTCTTGGGACTTGGGAAGGTTTACATCGCTTTCATGACCATTCTTCCTGGCTTCTCTCCACTCCTTTTGTAAGAACCTTGCTTCCATATTTCACCTCTGTCCTGTCTGTTCTGAGGGTCCCTTAGCAATCGGAGGTTCACAGCAAGGAGCTGGTGAGCCCAGCTACCTCTTCAAGCTGGTGATGCCCCTTCCCTAGTCATTTTTCGATTAGGACTTCTACCATGGAGCTTCCATCTGCCCTGCTCTATTGCAGAGTGGCCAGGGAGGCCAGGCCCAGGTCTTGTCCTCTGCTCCTGGGGAATGTGCCCCTTGCATATCTTCTCAGCAATAACCCCTTGGGCCCTGGATTCCCTATCCCTTCTCCTGCCTTCCCTGCTCCCAAGGCGCTAATCTATAGCCCAGCTAGTCTGGACCCAGACTCCCATCCTTGAGTTGGGTCTCTGGCAGGTGATGCATTCTGGTGGGGCAGCATCCTGGGGAGGGGCAGCTGGGAGAGCAGGGGTCCTTTGCTTCTCTGTCCATGCCCATTGGGCAGGCATCAGTGATGGCTGCTGGGCCCTTTGTTCCTCCTGTCACCGGTCAGAGTGGCTAGTGCAGAGGTTTTGCAGCAGGTTAGAGACTAGGCAGGGCTCCCCACAGCAAGAGATCAGAGGTCATAAAGAAAGTGGAAAGTTGAACCAGACCCCTCTCCCATTCATCGTGTTATCCTGGAAACTAACTTAACATGTGCCAGGACTGCTGTCTGTGCTGTGATCTATCCTGTCAACAACAGCAAGGAATAAAGTACAATTTGTTTCCTAGTGGCTCTGAGGTGCATTCCTTTCTGTGAAAGAACTCAAATATTTGAGGGGCCAGAGGGACTCTGTCCTTGGTCAGAAAGAGGAAGTGAGGGCTGCAGAGGTAGCTAAGTGGTGCTTGTTTGTTCCAGATGCTTTAATGCTTAGACCCCCAACACCACGCTGCCTCTCCTACCTCTCCTACCTCCCCTACCTCTGTCCTCCTTTACCCAGATCCCCCTTCTCACCCCTCCATCCTCCTGCTCTGCCCACTCCTATTTCCCCCACCTCTTCCACCAGTCAGGGGGCCTAGGAGCTGTACTTATGTGTGTCCTGGATAGAAGGCAGTCCCAGTGGCTTGACTGAGGGCTCACCGGTCTGAAAGGAAAGGTTCTAACCTCCTGCTTGGTCAGTTTTGGGGCTACTACCTAAGAATTTGACAAAGAGGGGTTAGAGGTGGTGACTCAGGTTATGATCCAAGCCTTTAATCTTTCTACCAATCCAAATACCTCCTCTTCTGTGAAGCCTTCCTGGACCTCAGGTAGAATGAGTCCCTTCTTTTCTGTGTTCTGGTCACACTGGTTCCTGCCTTTATCTTCACATTTGATATACCATACCTTGGACCCAAACTGTAGAGGCCAAATAGATAATGTCCATTTTTGAACTGGCTGTCGTGACATAGTAGCTGGGGCATAGGGCCCTGGGGCCACCTAGAGTGTCTTTCCAAAGACATTCCCATCCAGTTTTATAAAAAGTACTGCTGGCCAAATAAACAGTTGAGGGACAGTTCCCTTTGGAGGTCATTGCTGTGTGGCCCCTACCTCTATGTGTCTTTGTGAGACATGCTTTCTAGAGGACAAGAACTGTTTTATTCTAATGTAAGAATGCCTGGAACATCTTAAGGACTCAAAAAAAATTCGTAGAGTCTGTCCAGATTGTGTGAGTTATTTAGAGCTGCGGAATTGCAAGTTGGGATCCCAAAGGGCTGGGGTGGGGGGGCGGGCCAGCAACTCCCTGCCCAGCCCCTCTCACACTGACTCCCGTGCTGCCTGCCCTATTTCTGTGCCTGCCTTCAGTCCCCCAGGCCTTTGAAAAGACTGAGGCTTATAGTTGAGATCAAGCTCAGCATTGTCAACCCAGTAATCACTGTGGTCAAAAAAGCCTTGGCACAGGTAAACTTGGTAAACCAGCTGATGACCACCATCCGTGGAGCACTCGTGGGTCAGGGAGTTGGCAGGTCTGGCAGCAACTTCACAGCATGACCAGGTGAAGATCCTTGGAGGTCCCAGGGCCACAAAAGACTGTGGGTACCTCCCCATATGTGCTATTAAAACTGATACTAGACTATAAAAATAAGTGTAACATAATCCAATAGGGAAGTTCTGATTTTTCTCATAATAACAGCTGTGTTCATAATAGAGACTGATAGTTCTATCCAGCATATGTACAAAATGATTACCCCAACTTTGCCAGACTCTAAACATCTATTTATGTCTCCTTCTGGTAATCCACCATTATCTCCAAGGTAGGTAGGATGTTCCAGTTAACAGATTCTCTCTGATAAATTTGTGACGGATCTAGGGTACACAGCCTGTCTCCAGGGTTTGGTATAGCACATCACATGGCCCGGCTTCCTTCTCCAGGGGAAGGCTGGTGTGCAGACCAAGGGGAGGATCACCTGGACTGGAGAGACTACATCTGGAGCCTGGCAGTTCCTCCCAGGCATAAACTAGCTAGACAGCTCTGGGATGGGGGCAGGGGCATCTTGTTGGGGGGTGAGTGGTTTGGAAATGACATGAAGAACACAAAGAGACTGATAGTAAAAACAGTAACAATGGTAATGATAATAAAAGCAACTAACATTTATCAAGTACTTGCTGTGTGCAAAACACAGGCGGAGGACTTTGCATGTATCAGTTCATTCAGAACTCACAGCTCTGCGTGACAGCTTGGTGAGACTTGGTGAGACTTTGCACTTCTGGTGGCAAAGCCAAGGTCCAGCCCCGGCCGGTCCAGCCCCAGCCCAGTGCCGCTCTGCACTGCAGAGGAAGGAAGGTAGGCCCGTCAGGTGGGCATGTGAGGGCAGCAGACCTTGGCCTCCTGTGAGGAAGTCCTTAGTTCCCACAGAGGTTATGACCCCAAATGAGTGAGTCCCCATGACTGGAAGCACTTGAACTGAAGGAAAATGGCTAGCTGTTAGGATCCTCTAGGCAAGATGAACTCTGACAACCTTCCCAGGGCGACCTGAGTGTCCAAGCCCAAATGGGACAACCCCCTCTTGCCCCCTTCACCAGTGGGGTGAGCCTTCTTCCTCTCTGGTCTAGCACTGCAGGGCCAGGGGAGAAGAATCCAGTATCCATACATGGATTGCTGCTTAATGTGTGTCTGTCTTCTGGAGAGGGCCATGCCTGTCCATTCAGCCTTCAGGCTCATGACATGTATGTGATTTGGTTGGCAATAGACAATGTAACTTGGTTGAATAGGAAAGCTGCTCAGCAGTGCCATTTCTCAGAAGGGAATGCTCAGTCTGCTAGCCTCAGGCTGACCTCCGGTGTCCTGCACATTTCACCTCTGAACAACTCCCCACACCTCCCTGAATCCCACTCCAAAGATTTGGAAGTCTTTGCACAGAGGTGTTTGTGTTACTTAAAACCACATAAAAATAGGTCAGCCTGCTTTCTGCGTCCCCAGGCTGTGGCCTCTCCACCACTCTTTTTTGCAGGTTGTGTCTTGGAAATTGCCAGATTGTTCTTGAAAGAGAGTCAGAGGCAGAGTGCAAGCAGCAGGGAGGGTGGGGTGAGTGACAGGGATGCCAGGCTGAAGCACAGCCCAAGGTCACCTGGCTCCAGACTCCCCTTCCTCTGCAGGGAAGGCCTGCCCTCCTGGGATCACTCCCAGGCAGGGTGGCTGAGCGGAGCTGGTGTGGGAGGGCTGTCCAGCTCTGTCTGGTTCACCCCACCTCGTGTGAGAGAAAAAGAAGGTAGGTCAGGTGTGTTTGAGCCAGGGGAGGAGCCTTGGAAATATCTTTCTCCAGGCCACAAAAAGGAAGAATGGTCACCTCTCACCATTAGTATGATTCACTGCGGTCACAGCTGAGCTCCAGGGGGGTGGAATCAGCCAGCTCAAGCCAACTGGCTGTTGATTTTATGAGGCCAACCCCAGCCCTATGCCTGGTTACATAATAGTGGGGCACCTGCCAAGGCAGTGATGGCAGAGCAGGTGATGCTGCAATAGATGTTCTGAAGGTCTTGGTGTGGTAGGAGCTGTTGGGGGATGGGCCACCCCGCGCCATCCAGGCTTGGATGCAGTCTGGTGGAGCCAAAAGAGGCTCAGGACATTCCCATTCTCTTGCATTCCCCTCTTCTCTCTAGCTGTGTGAGGTTGGGCAGAGTCTAGCATCTCTCAGTTTCCTTCTCTGCAAAATGAAGCCCTTCCTAGCCATAGGGTAAGCTAGGCCACTTAAGCCTCGGTTTTCTCACCTGTACCAATGTACAGGTCCATCAATACCTTTTCTGTTACCTCACAAGGTCAAAGTGATAGAGTGGACATAAAAACCCTTAGAAAATTCTACATGTAGATATTATATTATTAATATTTATATTATAATCCATTTCTTTGTCTTCTCTCTGATAGCAGGGTTTCCCGGGTCTCTGTCAGACCAGAGTTTAACTTTGGACTCGTCCATGCACCACTGCAATTTCCTCCTCTGTGAAACGGGCATCACAAAACCTGCATGCCTGAGTTCCTGGGAGGAGCAGAGCAGATGAAGGAGGCATAGGCTCTTGGGAACTATAGAGAACGATAAAATGGATGGAACTGCTACTGAGTGAGGACAACTGGGCACCAGACAGTGGAGGCACAGTCATTATGATCTGAGTCTTCACGGAGGCCAGGATAGGCTTGGCAGTCTGTGAAACAAACAACACAGATAGTTATAAAGCCAGATTCAAGCCTTTCAGGCCGTATCAGGTCACAGGAAAGGAAGGAGCAGGGGCGGGGCTGCTCCTGGAGGTCTTTCTGGAGGTGGCAGCCAGCCTGCAGCTGCTTTCAGAGATAAAGAGGGATGTGGTTACTGGAACAGAAGAGCTACACCTGGAGAGAAACAGCCTCTGCTCTAGTTTAAGCCCAGACGTGAGTTCTGAGAAAAGTCAAGAACACATTTCTCTCCGGGGTATATTCACTGTGGGAGAGGTGGGTCAAACAGGTTTGCCCTTGTCCACCAGCTGTAGAAACAGAAGAAAATGTCCTCGTCCCCTGCCTGCTCAGGGAGCAGAAATGCCTCAGTAACCTTGACTCAGAGTGCATTGCCCTTTGGCAACTCCCAGGACCTGTGTGCCCCATGGTGCGGCCATCTTGAAGCCAACACTTAAGGAATGAACCCTGTAGGACCCACCTCCCGCCAGGCCCGCCTTATAAGCCCCCAGTGATCCTGGTATTTGTGGACACAGCAGGAGACAGGAGCCAGTGCTCCTTGGGGTTCAGGACCTCCAGGCAGCACAGATGGTGCCTGGGAGCCTCCCTGCGAGTGGCCACATGTGCCATGCAGCTGAGGACAGACCCAAGCCAGGAATCGGAGCTTTCTAGGGGCTTCTGGCCTCTTTCCAGCTGCAAGCCATCAGCAGGAAGATTGACTGGGACCTGGAGTCCAAGGCGTGTGCTCTGCTGTGTAGCGCCCAGACGTGCGGTCTGGCGGAGCTGGAAATTTGAGTCTTGGGGAGGCTGGTCAAGAGGGCCTCTGCCTTGTCACTAGTTTTTGAGCACCAGGCAGACAGCTCAGCTGATGTTCTGGCATGCTACCTCCCTACCCCACTGAGCCAAAATGACCACCCAGACTGCTGCCCTGAGACTGAAGAATCAGGGAACAAATGGAGGCCTATTTGGGAAAGACAGGGATGCTGAGGCATGGCAGCTGAGGACACTGCCCTAGGGGCATGGCAGTGTTGGAAGAGGAAGTTGGGGCTACCTCTCCATACCTCTCAAATATCTCCCTGATTTCTGGGTCTTGGGAGTATGGCTATATGGTTCTCTTTGGCTTCAGCCTAGAATAATCAAACAAAGGGAGGGGGTGAGGGGAATTTTGCCTACTTTGTGTAGCCTTTCTGGGGTGACAGAGTAGCACTCTCACCCCATTTGACCCCATATCCTGGGAAAGTCTGGAAGAACTAGAAGCGGGGCCAGATGTCAGCAGGAATCAGTCGTGCAGTGTGGGTGTCTGGGGATTAAAGGGAGGTTGGGGATGCCAGGTGGGTGGTAGGCTGGGAGAGATCATGCTGAGGGTCAGGGAGGGGATGGTGCTCTGGGATCTTGCTTTAAAGATCACTCCGGCAGGGGACTGAGCCCAGGGAAGGGATTATGGTGAGTGCCTTTGTTCCTGGAAGGCCAGTTCAGGGTGAGGATAATGAAGTTGGCACTTAATAGGACCGTCTTTGGCCAGTCTTTGTATCTACATCATCTCAAGTCCTACAACAACTCTGCAAGGTAGGTGCTATCATCTTATTTTATAGATGAGAGGAACCCCAGAGAGGTGACCTTGCCAGGACCACATAGTCTGTAGGGAAGAGTCAGGGTGCAAAGGGATTTAACCTTGGGTGTGTCTAGCCTCAGCATGCAAAACTTGTGGGAGGAGAGGCTCTCCTGGGCTACTCTCCAGGGCACCATGGGCCACGCACGAGTTAAAGGAACCAGGGCCTCCCTGGAGGAGAGTAGGGTGTCTCAGAGAGAATATTTCTTGTCCCCACTGTCAGCCACAACCCGACTGCCTCAGTCAGCTGGGGTGTGGGAGACAGGGGAGAAGTCTGAGGAAGGACTTGGGTGGGAGTGAGGTGAAAGGAATAGAACCTCCTGGACTCTTAATGCCCAGGCTTCCCCAGAAGGGGCAAACAAACACTTCTATAAACATTGTCACAGGGCTTCTGCTGAAGCCCTGGGACAACCATGGGGATGGCATGAGGAGAGGGGCAGGAATGGGGAGTGCTCCAAGGATTCTGGGGGACCTGCCAGCAGGTGCTGGCCACATGCTTCTCTCTGTGGGAGCAAGCTAGGTCTTGCTGCCTATTATAGGGCAGGTAATTTCATGGGAAAAGGCTGCACTAAAGTTCTGGGTCTGCCTGTGCCAGTGGGGAAATTATTTTACCCCTGGGACTTATTCATTAATTTAACAAAACTGGGGGTTCACCAAGTGCCTGGCCCCATTCTAGGCACTGGGAATCTGGGAATGAACATAAGAAACAAAAATTCTTGTTTTCCTGGAGCTTGAATTTCAGTCAAAAGAGGAAAACATAACTTATCAAATATAATAAGTGCTACTGAAAAAAAATATAGCTAAGAAGGGATTTGAAATGTAGAGTGGGTGTGACAATTATAGCCTGGGGTGCCAGGAGGGTCTTCTGTATCAGTCTATGGAGAAAGACCTGAAGCAGGTTGGCCAGGAAGCTCTCTGAAGGAAGAGTGTTCACGTAGAGGAAGTAGCCAGTGCAAAGGCCCTGAGGCAGAGCATCCCTGGAGGGTCAGAGGACCACCAAGGAGAACAGCATGGCTGGAGTGCATAGAAGAGGCCACAGAAGTTGGAGACAAGGTCAGCAAGGTCACTGAGGCCAGATTAAGAAGGGCTTTATAAGGCACAGAAAGGGACTTCGGTTTAATCTCTGAACCCTAGGAGGGTTTGAGCAGGAAAGTGAGGCCTTTGTAAAGTGAGGGGGTTGGGTGATAACTTTGGAGTTCCTGTCCAGTCCCTCAGTCTGTGACACAAAGTTTTCATTTCAGATTGAGCTATGTCCCTTCACAGCATTAATGCAGGGCAGGGAACAGAGTGTGTGTGTGGTGGGGAGGGTACTGTGGTGGCGAGGTGGGGGTGGGTGTGAGGGGGAGAGTTATGGCTGAGATATCCACATTTCAGACCACTGATGTGTTTGGAACAGTCAACCTCTAAAGTACCATCTAACCTTAAGATTTATGAACCTCTCAAAGTGACCCACGTGGGGAATTTTCGACTCTGTAGCTTTGGGAAGTCTGAATGAACAGGTTTCTCCTTGGGAACATGTCACAAGTCCTGGTTTTATGAGCTGCTCTGGACAGATTTGCCCCGTCTCAGGGGGTCGTGGGGTAAGCAGCAAGCAGCCAGGAGTCAGGACTGCCTGGCCAAGGCCCCCAGGGCAGATCTCAGCCCAGCTGGATCAAAGCCCTCCAGCTGTCCATTCCCCACTTCCACAGAGATTTTCAGGCTGCTCTCTGTGGGCATCATTAGCCGACCCCTCAGGGAGGAAGTATAGCTGAGGAGGAACAGAGAAGGGAGTTGTCATTGTGGTCAGAAGCTGGGGCCAGAACCCACATCTTCCAATCCCTGCTCTTCAGTGTCTGTGCTGGAGTGGCCAAGTAGGGAGACCCACAGAGATGTTGGTGGTGGCCTCACTCTGGGCAGTCAGAGGCCTCAGCAGCCAGGGACTGGGGATGAGGCTGAGCCAGGGCAGGGGGTCTTTGCCATTCCTGCTCCTGGCTGCAGCTGGGAGGCGAGCCCTCCACAACTGCCCTGTGTCTAAGAACGCTGTCTTCCGCCCATTCCCCTCTTGCACAGACCAGCAGTTTTCAGCAGCCCCATGAGGCTACAATGTCTCCAGGTGGTTCTGACATCGCAGCTTGTAGTGTCACTGGGGGCTATGTGAGGGTCCTGCTAAGGAAGGGCAGGGTACTGTGGGGACCAGCACCACAGTTGCTCCCCGGCTCTGCCCTGCTGCGGAAATGACAGTGGAGGCTGCAGCTGATGCCTCTGGGAAACATCCTGTCCCCCTTTTCACCTCCCCACCTCTGCCCAGGGCAGCTTCCAAGGGGCTTCTGTTCACTCTCGGGGGACTCCTAGCTGCAGAGTGAAGTCTTGGGACAGGAGACATCAGGGCAAAGGCCTAACTGGGCTGGAGGAATGAGGTGCAGCTAAATAAAGGCCCAGGGGGACACCCAGATGCCCTTGAGTGTCTCCCTTAGCCACCAGGAGCTGGGCAGAAAGCAGGGGCTGTGATGCTGTGGGCTTCAGCCTCAGCCCGTGCCCTCCTGGGTTCTGGTAACCTTGGCAGGCACCTTGGGTTGCCTAGAGGGTGATGGAGGTAGCACCTATCCCTTTGGAGAGGGGTGCTTGTGTGGAGGCTGCAGTTTGCTTTGCAGTGGCTAACAGCCTCCCCCTTCCTCAGGTGCCTCCTCCCACATGGATCCCTGGCCTCAGCCTGCCCAGGCAGGCTGGCACAAGGTGAGGGCTCCCTTGCCAGCCCCTCCTCCCTGTCTGTCTCTTCCTTCCAGCGGGTTTGGCTGAAGTGTGGAGGGAGGGAATGCCACTCTTTCCATCCAGGCCCTCAGCAGCAGGCACCTCACGACTCTCTCCCACCTGGACACAGCTAACAGCTCCTGCCATGGACAGGTGGTACCTGGGTGAGTCCCCTAAGCCCCATCCCTCCCACCTTCTCAGATTCTGACACAGGTATCCACCTTATTACTTTCCAGTAGAGCCACCAGCCCCCAGAAGTGCAGGAGAGGCAGGATTTCTAAACAAGGACAGCTCAGTGTGGAACCCTGGGCACACTGCAGTCCACGCTCTGAGCATCTCTGAGCTGCAAGAGCTGGCAGGACAGCTGGCCCAATAGTCTCCTTTCCTGTCCATCTGTCCATCTATCTGTCCATCTGCAGGAACGCTGAAACCAGTCTGCTGGGTTCAAACCTTGGTTTCTCCACTTCCTAGATGCCTGACTTTTGGCAAGTTATTTCAATTCTCTGTGCCTCAGTTTCTTCATCTATAACATGAGGGTGATAACAATGCCTTCCTTATTTCATAGAACTGTGACAAATAAATGACTTAATTTTTGTGAAGTGCTTAGAGCAGTGCCTTGCACCTGGACTTCAAAAATGCAATCTCAACTTTCCTTGTTCCTCTTTTTGTCTATTATCACCTATCTATCCATCCATCCATCCATTCATCCATCCATCCCTCTATCTTCCCAGTTCTTTTATATCCCTTATTACTCCAGAAAGACTCCATGGTGGCTTACAAAGACAGACAAAATACACTGAGATGCCAAGAGGATGTATGGTCGGGGACCCAGTGCCTGTGTGGAGAGTGGCAGAAGCTTCAGGAGCACCACCTCGGTGCCTGGATTAGTGGACAGTATATGCAGAGTGTGACAAGTGGTCAACTGCTACCAAACTAGCTCTGTTATAAAATGCTCGTGAATATTCATCCCTTGGGACTAAAAGCCACAGAGAGCTGAGACAGTGTGCTAGCTCCTGGGCTGTAGGCTGTGTGTGACATTCTCTTTCCATCTCACTCTCATGGGAGGGTGGATGGCTTTTCTGTGTCCAACAGCTAGGATTCAACAGAAAGTTAATAATGCCTATTATTTCTCCAGCCAACACAAATATCACACTAATAGTGATGACACTCACTATGTCCCTGGCCCCGTGCTAGCTCACAACTGGTCTGTAAGGCGGGCAGCAGTCATGTTTTACAGATGAGGAGACGGAGGCACAGAGAACAGACACCATATACTTAGCAAGCGTAGGAGCCAGGAAATGAACTCAAACCTCGACCCCTACCACTGCTAAAGGAGGATTGATAGATGGATTCAGATCCCTTTAGAATAACTAACCAACCCCCAGTGGACATGAACACTGGCCTTGGTACTATCAACCACCAGCTCTTTTTTTTGGAGGCCAATTTAATTGACTAGAACTCAGCCTGGAATCCGAGCACCTACAGAGTACCCAGCACCAGTGCCTGAGGTAAAGGAGACCACAGTGGAGCGAGGAGTTGGCATCAGAGGTATGGAAAAGCACCTGACTCCTACAGCCAAAGGGCTGGCTCGCAGTCTATACCTGGCCCCTCAATGGCTGTGACCTTGAGCCAGAGCCCTGCCTTCTCTGTGGAATGACTGCAAGGACTCCTCAACTATACAATAAGGAATAAAACAAAGCTCAAGGAAATAACAGTGAGGAAGGTGCTTTGTAAATTATAAATGCACTTTCTCTCCCTCTCTGGTAAGGCATGGCTGCTTCTTGAAGAAACCTGCAGTGCAACATTGGAAACTGGAGTGCAAGCAACTAGAGAGCCATACTGGCAGGCCCTCCGTGGCTGTAAAAGGGAAGTGCCAGGAGTAGCAGGGAGAGAGTTTTCCTGACTGAGGCATGGGCTGCGGGATGCAGCTTGGGGATGAAGAAGATAACAGAGGAAAGGCAGCAGAGGCCTAGAGGTGTGACCTTGCACGGAGGGCTCCGGGTGGGCCTTGAGGTGAGAGGGGACCAGGCACCTTAGGACCAGCCCAGGGAAGTCTTACATACCAAGTAAAACCACCGGTGGAAACAGTGATCTCCCATTAGTTGGTCAGATGGGGCAGCGGCTAGGTTTGGGGCCTCCATGGGAACCTGACTTTAACTCCTGCTTACAGCACACTCTGCACATAGTTTGACTTTCCTACTTCCTATTGCCACAGCCCCAGCTGTGGCTTCTCCAGCTGTGGAAGAACACCACAGCCGGCCATCCCTGGCCCTCCTCTTTGGAAATTTCCTTTGTAAGGGTTTGGAAAACCAGCCAGCTCCTGCCTGTCCCCGCCTGCTGGAGCACCTCCTCATACCTCAGCGGGAGCCCCTCTGTCCACACCAGGGCTTTTCTTGTGACCAGGGTAAATATTAGCTGGCACTGTTAATGTTTAATGCCCCCACCTCATCCCTGGCCACCCCACGGCCAGGTACTCTCCCTGAAGCCGAGGCAGCAGGAGGAAGGCAGCAGAATCGAGCCCAGTGTATTGGGGAAATGGCAGGGGTGTCGACGGACGACGGTGAGTATGTGTGAATGTGTGCCGAACAGGAGAGAGCTTCTACTTGGACCACATTTGGAGGGGAGAGCTGGGTCGCACTCTTCCATCTCCTGGCGGCTCTTCCTTCTAGAGTACAAAGCACTGCTCCCTCACCCTGAGCCACTCTCCTGTTTATGAATATTTGCTTTTAAAAGAGGATCCTGCCTTAACTCCAGAGAAATATAGCTTGAATGGCAGAACCACAGGACCAGGTGACAGCCGGTTTGGGACTTGGGGGACGAGTTTCTATCTTGACTTTCTGGCATGAGCCTGTCCTGGTTCATTGCACCTTTCTGGACTATCTAAGCTCACAGCAGGAGGCAGATGGCGGTCAGGCTGGGGAGGCAGCAAGCCACTCTGGTCAGCCTTCTCAGGTTGGTTTTGAGAGGAGAGCCCCCAGCAAAGGGCACACTCCCTGGAGGATTCTTGTAATGGAGGGCGACTCAAGCCCTGGCAGCCAACAGGGGCCGTTGCTGACTGTGGTGGGCTTTGAGACAGATGCAAAACAGATGAAGGCTTGGGGGAAGGGGCCAGCTCATCAGAGGGCTCAAGATGAGGTGGTCAGGGAGGAGACGGTTTCCTGGTGTAGTGAGGAAGCCATGAGTCTAGTCATGGCTCTGATACTAACTCCCCAAGTGACCTTGAGCAAGATCTGAACTGAGACAAACTTGAAGGCCTTCTGTGTGTCGACAGGCACCTGGGTCCACATAACTTCCCCTTGGCCTTTGGCATTCAGGCCCAGGCGGACCCCTCCTAGACTGTTTCTTTTTGGCTTAGGGAGCTTGCTGCTTGCCAGGGAAGCTGGGCTCACCAGGCCCTGTGGCCTTCTACTGCCTAGGGCACAGTTCAACACAGCCTGTGAGGGGCCAACTTGTGCATTCCCTTGACCTTGGGCACTGCTTCTCTAGTGCCAAGGAGGGGCTCAAATAGTGCAGGAAAGAGGGGCCACCATCAGCAGTGGCAGAAAAACTCTGGCCAGACTGCCCTCCAGTTTCCCAAGGCCAAGTGTGCTCAGTCTACAGGACTGGAGGGCAGAGCTGAGACAGCTGCTGGTTGCTGAGCAGGCCCACGTCAGTGTTTCCCAGCCCAGGAGGCAGGGACTGGACCCAGATGACTTGGCTCTGAAAGGTATCCTTTCCTCCAACCACCTGAGAGGCAGCGTAGCAAAAGGGTTAAGTACCCAGATTCTTAGCAACCTGTTTTCTGGGTTCAAATCCCAGCTTTATTCTTTACTAGTTGTGTACGTGTGGGTGAGTTACTGAACTTCTCTGTGCCTCCATCTTCTCATGATTACACTGGAATAATATTAAAGCCTCACAGGGTTGTTATGTGGTGAAACAAGCTAATGCCTTGTTAGCCTTAGCTGGGCATGTGGTAAGCACTATATATTGATGTTTCTTTTGTTCTTTTAAAATTTTTTAAAGATTTTATTTATTTATTTTTATAGAGAGGGGAAGGGAGGGACAAAGTGAGGGAGAGAAACATCAATGTGTGGCTGCCTCTTGCACACCCCCTACTGGGGACCTAGCCCACAACCCAGGCATGTGCCCTGACTGGGAATCCAATTGGCAAACCTTTGGTTTGCAGACAGGCACTCAATCCACTGAACCATACCAGCCAGGACTAATGTTTCTTAAATAAATATGCTTCCCCCAGAGGATAGCCACATAGGAAAGAAGCATCTAGAAACCTGGTTGAAGACCAGTTCTGCCTCCAACTTTCCTTGTAATTTTGGACAAGTCTCCAAACTGGGCTTTACTTTCTTTCTTTTTCTATTCATCCATTCATGCATCTCACAAATATTTGCTAAGCCCCTTGCAGTTGGTTAGTCTTATGAGGAGAGGCCACTGGTGAGTCTAATGGGAGATGTCTTTCTTGATCTTTCCCTACTTTTGTACAGAGCAAGGAGAAGAAAAAATTGACCTCTTCCAGAGTTGTCAGATGCCCCACAGACAGCGTGGCTCCCTGCTTTGGATGCTTAGTATTTGGTCCCAGGTTGACCGTGTCTGAAGCAGCCTAAGGCAGATGCCTCTACTGGCAGTGGCATTTGCAGACCACCAGCCTCATCTTCTAGGGGTCTCTCTTCACCAGCCTACACTTGCCCATTTGGACCCTGGGGTGGGGGTGCTGGGACAAGAAGGACAGAGTTCCACTGTTTCTGTGTCTAGAATACTCTACCATCTGTGACTTGCCCCTCACCTTGTCTTTGGCTCTCTCTTCAGGTGGCAGTCCCAAGGGGGATGTGGACCCATTCTACTATGGTAAGCCTGGTGGGCCTCTCCTCCTCCCTTTCCTGAGCCTGCCTCCATGCACTCCCAATTGGTTCCCAGCCTCTCCCAGCCCTGGTTATGTGCCCCATCTTCCCCAGTTACTGTGGGGCTGCTGTTACTGTGGGCTGAGGGGAGGAGTGCCTGGATAACCCATCCCACCTCCTTGCCCTCTGCTTCTTCAGACTATGAGACTGTCCGCAATGGGGGCCTGATCTTCGCTGCTCTGGCCTTCGTGGTGGGGCTTATCATCATTCTCAGTAAGTGGGGTCAGCCTCATGTTGGAAGGGGGGTGCTGGATGGGGGCACATCTCTTCTCAAAGCTGCGGAGCCCACTCAGGCTCAGGCTGGCTTCTCAGATGGGGATGGGGGAGAGCCCTCTCAACCCTTTCTCCAGATCCTGGAAGGGAGGAGAGAATCTCTCAGCTCTACCCCACTACCTTATGCCAGATGTAGAAACTGAGGGACACCCTGATGATGAAGAGAGGCATCTTGGAGTGTCACCCTACTTGGTCCTTGGGCCACACAGAGTTAAGTTCCATCTTTCTCAAGTGCACCCTCTAGTGGACCCAGGAGGAGCTGCCAAGAGTAAATGTGGGGTCCCGGAGTCAAGTAAGGCTACCTGACTCCCCCACCTCTGACCCTGGGAAGTTCCAGTGTAGCTGGGACTTGGGCACTCAAGTAAGGGAGGGAACTAACCTCTACTGGATACCCTGCATCCTCAGACCTGGCACTTTCTTGGCTTGAGCTACATCCAGCCTATTTAATCTTCTCAGCAACACCAGGGCATGGCCACATTTTCTAGGGGAAGTTAGACCCACACTGAGAGGTGCAGCAACTTGCCCACAGTTCCACAGCCAATAAGAAGCAGAGTTGGTTAACTGGACCAGGGGTGTCCACCCTGCACCCACTCCCCACCTGCTGCTGGAAAGCAAATGTGGTTGACAGCCAGAGTCTTAGGCCCCACTGCCAGTTTACCCCAACTCCCTGGGCCAAGTTTTGCTCGTCTGTTAAGTAGGGGTGATCTCACTTGTCTCATGAGATTAAAGCTAGCACCCAAAGACATGGCAGCCAAGAAAACACTTCAAAGGGTCCAACATAGATATGGTGTGTTCTGGGGGACAGGAGGGTCCTTGTTCATCCCCCAGCCACAGCAAGCACACAGCACAGGCTTAATGAATACTTACTGACTTGTTTTGGTGCAACCAGAAGAAAAATACACAGAAATACAATGAGTGAAAAGAAGACACAGAGTGTAGCAAACACAGTCCTGTGTCCTGGGATTGTAACCCAGCCATGGTCAATGCCACTCCACCTCGAGGCTGTGGTCTGCAGTTGTGATGGTTCCCCCAGGTTCTCCTGGAAGCTTCTGGAGGGCAGCAGTGTGTGGTGGTTGAGCAGATGATGCAGTGGCCTAGACAGGCCAGAACAGCAGTATTGGACTTACTGCTAGCCAACTCCAAGAGCTTATTGACTAGCTGCTCTGTGCCCAGCACAGTGCTGAGAGCGCCATGATGGCCCGGGGCTGGCCACTGCTCTCATGAGCTCATGGGCCACTGAGGAACACTGCAGTCAGTATTTATGGACCAGCTGACTGACTGGCATGGGCTTAGCCCAGCCCTGTATAAAGAGAGACATGGTTGGCTATTGCCTCCAAGCCACACCCCAGGACCTCTGTTAGGTGCTGGCAGGGAGAAGGAAGGGAATACTGCAAAGCTGAGTCCTCCAGGGAGGACAGGATCTCCTTGGAAGAGAGAGGCCTGTGGAAATCAACTTCTTTTCTTTCTTCAAGGCAAAAGACTCCGCTGCAGGGGCAAAAAGCATCGGTAAGTGCCTGCATTGTATAACGGACTGAGGTGGGTGGAGACGGGGGAAGAAGGGACAGATTGAGAATTTTGGTCTCTGAAGCCTGTTGGGGGGCCCCAACCTCAGGGATCCTAGACTTACTACCTTTCCTACCAACCTATTACCTGTCTTTTTTCTTTCTCCCATCTTAGGCCAGTCAGTGAAGATGAGCTGTAATGACAGGTATGTTTGGGAGGGGCAGGAGGGGTGCAGCCAGGGAGGGCTGTGGAGAAGTAAGGAAGAGCTTGGGACTGGGCTGGAAAGAATTTTAGGTTCCTCCATTTATCAGCCAGGCAGACTGTCGCCCATGATGGTCAAGTGCTTGGCATGGCTTTGTGGCCAAGGGGTGTGGGGAGGGGGCTGCAGAGATGCCCCAGAGAAAGGTAAAATAAATGAGGAATGAAATGAAACCCCACCTTTGCCCCATCACAGCCCAAAACCCGCCTTTGTCCTTTCAGAGTCAGCTGTGCCATTATGGCACTGGAGACAGTTGAAAAGCCTTCCCTGAGCTGCAGACCTTTGTCCCAGCACTGCCAGGCCTTCAGGCTGAAGGAGGCACCAGGCTCCATGTGACCCCTGGATGGGCATCACCTCCTTGCACCCCATGTCACCTCTTCCTAATAATAAAGCTGAGCTCAGAGATGGCTCCTTCCTTAGCCTGCCTCCCCGACCCCCACCTTCTCTCCTGTAACTGCCATGACCCGTCTGTGTAAGTTAAGTACAGTACGGCCTGGTTTCTCTTGCTTTTTGATTAATCACCCTATTAAAGCAAGTAGGCCTTTCCTTGCCCCTGGATTACCAAGAGCCCTGGACAGAGGACTCAGCCTGTTTTCCAAATGCCAGGCAACAAGAAACCCAGAAGTCTGAATGTCACAGGTTCAAAGCTATCGGGTCTGTCAAGTGCTGCTTGGGTATCTGCCCAGGCTCTGAGTGCCACTGTTGGAACTATCCTGCTGGAAGTTGCTGCAGACAGGCCTGGGAGGCCCAAAGTGTGGCAGTTGGTGGCCATGTTATGTGGTCTGCCATCTCCCCAAGTGCACCAATATGACAAGATGGGTGGTCTGGGGGAATGCAGGCCACAGCACATGCTCTCTCCCTACATGCCTCCTGACACTGGTGCTAAGCTCAGGTCATCCCCTTTCTGCTCTTGGGGCCAGTGGACCTCATCTAGACCTACTCATTCATGCTGGCTTGGCTAATCCCAGGGCTAGGGCCCTTGTTACCTTGCTGCAGCCCCTGTTCGTCTGGCAGGCCCCTACACAAAACAACTTCAGCCTGAGATGGTGTCAGGCTGGCCCTCCTACTCATGCTGGTGACCCCTTGCAGTAGAGTGTGCTTCTCCAGGGCAGTTTTATCCTCTTCCCTCTCCTTAGGGGGGCCTGCAGGAGGCTGGAGGGGATGGTGGGACCATGGCACCACCTAGTGTCCATCTTCCACATTTGGGTCTGCAGGCCTTTCCCCTGCAGGGAGGGGAGGGGAGGGGAGGGGAGGGATGGGGGGGGGGGGGCAGAGCCCAAGATAGCAGAGTGTTAGCTGAGTTTACAATAAGTAGGGTATATTTGGGAAACAGAGGCAGGGTAAGCCACCATTCTGCTTGAGAACTGAGCTTTTTGTCTTAATCCACTATCCCCCAGGTCCTGAAGACCATCAGTCCTTACAGAATCACAGAAGGCTTAAGCACAGAAAGTCTTAAGAAAGAAAAATAGATGATCCTTACCTTTCAGAATTTGCTCTGCATGTGCGCTCATTCACTGGTGACAAATAAAGTGTGACAAGCCAATCCCTAGACAGAACTCAGTGTTTTTCTACATGAGAAGGGCACACACTTGGGCTGTCCACGACAGTGGGAGGCATGAACAAGAATGGAACAGGTCCCCCTAGGGTTCCTTCAGGAGTTCCTGAAGCTTCTTGGATATAGCAACAAGAAGACGGGGTACTCCAGGGCTGTGGACTACCTGGGCAGTGAAGAGAAGAATGTTTTATATACGAGGGGAAACCAAACAAAAAAATCGCCCAAAATTTATTTATAAAAATTATTTGTTTATTCTTACATGTATTAATTTTAGTCACCTTCAAAGTACTCTCCATCTGATATAATACACCTATCAAAACATTTTTCTGCTGCTCAAAACAGTTTTTGAACTCAGATTTTGATGCCTTTCGGTGCTTCTGCCGTTTTTTGTTTCAACTCTTCCACATGAGCAAAATGTTTCCCTTTGAGGACTTTTTTCACCTGGGGAAACAAAAAAAAAAGTTACTCAGGGTGAGATCAGGTGACTAGGGAGGTTGGGGCACAGGGGTCATGCTGGTTTTGGTCAAAAACTGCTGAACACCCAGAGAAGTGTGGGCAGGTGCACTAGTAAATCACCTATCATGAAATGGGCAAATGTGTTGAAAGAGTCTTTAAAAAAGATTCACTGAAGCTGAATGCAGCCTCTCACAACAATGCCAGCTGGTAGGTACACTGATACAGATGGGTTCCTAGAACACTCACTTAGTGGGGAAACCTGTACTCCAAGGGGCCCATTTTCCAGAAGATAATTGTGTTTTGGGGGGGTCCCCCCATGTACAGGCTCTGAGTCTGCCAACTCAGATAAAAAGTCTGCTGCTCTGGTGGGAAAATGGTCCTGGGTGAGTCACTTTCCCTCTTTGCCCCTGCTGCAAGCCCCTCGAATCCATGAAATGTGGGGCTTCATCAGGTTATCTATCCAGAGAACGTGGGGTGCTGTGCAGGGCACCAGACACCCAGCATCCCCTCCAGACATAATGAATATCAGTTCTGGAGTCTCACTCAAGGTGTCACTCAGCAAGCTTCCAGGTGACTCTGGAGCAACCAGTGCTGAGAACCATGGGTCCTGGGGGCCATCTGAGATCTGTGAGCTGCCTGGTCTGGGCCCTTCTCCTCACTTCTCCTTCTCTGTTCATGAAGGTCTCATGGACTGGGAGCTTCTGAACTTTCCTTTCACACTGGGTATTTCCACAGTTCATATACAAACTAAGTCACAAAGAACACCCAAGCCTGAGAAGTCATTGGGTAAATTTCTCTTAATCACAATAGCAACAAAACCAGCAATTGTCTGAGGGTATTGCAATTCCCATTATTACCACCAGAGAGAGCATGTGTCTTACCAGGAATCCTTTCAAACTTGGGTTTTCAAACCATTCTTGCCAAGGGCAGGGGGTCCCTTGTGATGAGGAGGGGCCTCTTGAATGGTCTGCCAGGAGGACTGGTTCCTGGGAAAACCCTGGGCCCTTCTCATTCCACATGCACACCCTTAAGTGCATCACGCCCTACTCTGGGGGCAGTTCTTGGCTGTGTCGGTCTTGAGCCCTCACTGGTTCTGGAAAGCAGAGACCATGTGTGCTCTGCACAACTTTCCCGGTGCTCAGGTAACCATGAAGCCTTTAACTCCACAGTTTGAGATCAACATCATAAGCAGGACCTGAGAGAGCCAGGGACATTAGGCAGGGACATGTGCGGGGTGGTGAGGGAAAGAGGTTGGCTGCCTGAATGACCCCAGCTGCAGAGATTCAGGCTTAATTGATGGGGCATTGATGGTTTTTAAACCTCCCCAGGTGGACCTGGTGTGGAGCTGAAAGTCACTGACCTAGCCGGTGGGCATGGCTGAGGGTGGGATGTGAGGCAAGTGGCAGGCAGGGGGAGTAGATGTAGAGTGGAGACTCAGAGGGCCTCAGGAAAACTTGATCAGCTTCACAGTCTGGGAGAGGAGCAGGCAGCTCCTCCCTGCCCAAGAAGTGTCCTTACCACAGCTCCCTGTAACCTTGAGAGAGTGTCTTCTGGACACCAAGGGCACTTGCTGGTCCTGGAAGGCCATGAGGTCTTCCTTTGAGCCTGCTCAGCCCTGGCCTTTCCCCACAATATCTGTGCATAGGAGGAGCAAGGCACAAGATCCAGGGTGGGGCAGGAGTATTACCTGGTGAGCCCATCAGCTCCAGACCCCTGCTCACGGCCCGGTCTCTTCTGCCTCTTTATTCCTCAATGGATGTGGAGTTCACACATGTGGGGTGGTGAGGGCAGAGAAAGAGCCCAGGGTAAGGGTAGTGGGTGGGGGCAGAAGGTCCCCTCTCTGGCTCTGGATGACACTCTCTGGCTGGTCAAACTGGGGTAGGGCCCTTTCCTCTGACTACATGGTTTCCCCATCAGAAAACAAGAGGCTTACACTGGATGATCCCTAGCTCTTACAGGCATTGGTCTCCTTTCCAGAGGGAGGGTGCCCTTGGCACAGGCTTCCATTTTTTCTCAACTGTGGGACATTAGGGGAGGCCCCTCAAGCCATCTCAAACTCTCCCCAGCTGAGTGAGGAGGCACCCCCAAAACACACCCTGAGCATCTCCACTGGTCCTACCACTGTCAGAGGGAGTGGGGTCCCTGCGCAGACAGGTGGCAGGCAGAGTTGGGGCTGTGCTGAAGAGGTGCCAGGGCACAGGAAGGTATTGAGTCTGCCCCCAGGCTCTCTTTGCGGCCCTCCTCATTTTTGGGCAGCTGGCCGCTGCTGGAGAGATTAATTACCTCCCTGCTGACCTATGGCCCCAGGCAGCTAAGCTCTGAACTGCGTGTAATTCAGCAGGCCCTCTGGGGCAGCAGTGCCCCAGTCCTGGCCTGGCCAGGGGAGATGAGAGGCAAATGCCATGGCCACCCAGCCTGTTCTGTTGTGGTGAGTCCTGGCTGGGCCTCAAATCCAGGTCCACAGCAACTTTTATCAAAAAGAGCCTTGAGAAGGCAGGGCTGAGCCAGGAGCTGGATTGGGAGAGCCAGGGCACAGCGACCTAGCCCAGGATCAATCTCCTTCCTGGGCTCTGGTGGCTGAAGGAGACTCCCAGGCTGGGGGCCCTTTATGTTGTTTGCAGTCAAGTGACTGAGGGCTTGGGAAGAATCCTATTTAAAACTGGGAACCTTGGTACCCAGAGCTTTAGCCTGACAGACACTAGAGGGGTTAGGGAGGTGGCAAGAGGAGACCAAGGTGAGGGGTTCTTCCCCAGATGTGGACGGGCCTTATGCCCTGAAAGGGCCTGGAACAAGCTGTATCAGGTGACAGCCCCCCTGATTTGGCAGCTCATCTCTGGCTTGCTGGGCTGCTGGCTATGACTTGGGTGACAAACCACAGTCTCACCCCTAGCCTGCACGGTGTCAGGCACTCCTGGCTGCTGTTCCACTTCAGATCTCTAAACTTGGTTCCCTTTTCAAGAACTCTCACTATCACTTCCTCCAAAGGGCTTCCATGTTGTCACCAAGAGGAATTCCTCAGATGAGCACAGCCAGGGGAAGGACAGAAAAAGGGGGACAGTCCAAGCTGGGGCAGCAGTTCATGACCCCAGAATGTCACCTGCAGCTCAGCACAACCAGTGCTGAAGAAGATGGTAAGTTAGCCTCCATGCCAGATCTGCCCTCAGTCTCTGTGTGACCTTGAGAAGTCCATATCTATGAATCTCTGGACTTGGCTTTGGGAACGCAAGACAAAAATTCCAGGTGTTGGCTTCAAAGTCAAGGGGCCCAGGGAAGAGCTGCATGGGGAGCTTCTGTTAATTCCCTTGTTCCCTCCTGCCCACAAGAAGGCTGGGCTCAGGGGAAGATTGCGGGCACACACAAACACACACCACAGACACATGCTGGCTTCCTCCTAGTAGTTAAAACAGAGGCACTTGCCAAGTGATGATGGCAGACAAAAAGACACACTTGACAAAGCAGAGGAGATGAGGCTGTCTTGGCCCACAGCCAGGAGCATGCTGAATTCTCTTGTGCTCTTTGTTTCCTGAAAGGCCTATCAGTCATCAAGAGTCATGCCAAACCCAGCCTGCACAGCATCCTCTGCTCTGAGGTTTCACGTCCATGGACCATATGCTCTCCACAAAGCTAATAAAATCATCAGGGAGTGGCCTCAGCCCTCAGGTGCCTGCCCAGAGCATGAGTGAGATGCGCTCAGCTGGGACTCAACTACCCCTGGACCATTCCCAACCTGGGGGTGGGAGGGTGGGAAAACAACCTCGTATCTCTCTGATTCTGACTATCCCTTCCTGTTTTTCTGCCCACTGTCTGCCAGGTACAGGTGTTGTGTGTGATAGTTTCCCTCTAGTCCCCAGTTCCGAGCCCATTCCTTGTACATAGTACCTGCTCGATTAGTGTTTGTTGAATGAGCACACAACTGGACAAACAGATGAATGAATGAGTGATGCATGATTACCCACATCTGGACCCACTGCCTCTTGCTCCTCAAGGGGAAAGGAGGGTTTTTGGTGCTATATTCTGGGAAGATTGGCTGGGGTGGTGGGGTGCATGCTCACTTGGGGTTGGGCCCTTTGGGCCAATCCAGTGACAGCTAGCATTTCTTCCTTGGCATCACAGTTAAGATCATAGGCATGGACCAGCTGGCTCAGATCTGAGCCCTGGCTTGGCCAGTTATGGACTATGGTACTGTGGGCAAGTGCTGCCCTAATACCCAGTTTCCCCAAATGGAGAGACAGTTTCAAATGGAGGTCCCTTGCTGCTGACCAGCATTCAATAACCAGTGGCCATTGTGATGACTGTCTCCAAGTCTCTTTCACTGTTAATACTAAGTGTGCTCCCTTAGTGTCACTAAGTGTCCTCCAGGCAACCCAGCCCTTTACCTAATGTTTTCATGTTTCAAAAATTCTGTCCAGGACATTCTTCTCAGGAAACTCATGAGGCAGGGCTGAGAGGTAGAAGTCCCCTGAGTGGCCAGGTCCCAGGAAGAGGCTGGCACACCACAGGACCCAGATTTAGACACTCCTTAGCACCATATG